ATTAGCACCTGTTCTTATCCTGTTCTTCATGAAGTAGACAGGCAGTAATGGGGAGGGGGAAAGTGGATTTTGTTTTTAAAACCCTCTGGCACTTTGTTTAAAGTTCTTGAAAGTGCTGCCATGTGCTGTGGGCTCTTTCTTGGTGTTCCCAGCCATTGATGGCCTCCTCCTTGTGCTACTCTGTTACTAGTAGTCAGGAAGGACTGAGAGAGCAAGGCGGCTCGGTGGATAGAGCACCAGGATTCAGCAAGACCTGAGTGCAAATTTGACCTCACATACTTACTAGATGTATGACCCAGGGCAAGTCACTTAACCTCTATGAAAGGAGAGGGAAATGGTGAACCACTTCAGTATCTTTGCCAAGAAAACCTCCTAATGGGGTCATGCAGATATGGACACAACTGAATAACAGCTAACTCATAAAGTATACATCAGCCCCTGTGGGCAGCTAGATTGCACAGTGGTTAGAGCACCAGCTCTAGAGCCAGGAAGATCTGAGTTCAAATGTGGCCTCAGACTCTTAGCAGCGGTGTGAGCCTGGGCGAGTCACTTAACCCTATTTGCCTCATTTTCTTCACCCATAAAACACACTAGAGAAGGAAATAACAAATCGCTCCAATATCTTCTGCCTCAGATACCTATTGTGTGACCATGTAACCTTAGATCAAAATGGGATAACAGATAAAGCACTTTGCAAACCTTGAAGCACCAGGTAAATGATAACTATTAGTTTTCTTAACAGTAAAATGAGAGGGTTGGTCTCAGACGGCTCCTCCAAGTCAAAATCTATGACCCTATGAAAATACTGTACTGATGGTGTGTGAGCAAATCCTTAAGCTCTCAGTGATCTGGGTCTTCAGCAGTGCCTCAGCTGCAGAGATGGAAAGGTGCTGACTATACTGAAGAAATCACATATAGATTCCTATTATGATACCCCTGCTATAGCTTATGTCTACTGTGTGTGTGCACGCGCACGTGTGTGTGTGATTTACCTCAGATAGAATGGAAGCTCCTTAAGGACAAGACTGTAAAGTTTTTTTCTTTCTATTCCCCAGTACCCAGGACAGTGACTGAGCACTTAATAAACCCATGTTAAGTGAATGAATAAATAATAGCAAACGGCAACAGCACCATTCTTTGTTAAGGCCTAAGCTTAAAAATATCCCCACTTCGTCTCCCTTTGGAGCACTGGCTAATAGAATGGCTTTGCTCTACAGGAAGGTCCTAATGAATCATCATTAACCCTGAAACCAAAGCACAAATGCCACGATCCTTCCAGAGTTTTAGAGGCTGGCCTGGCTAACGAATCTCGGTAATGCCGTCATTCTCACCTAACTTCCTGGGCCATCCTCACTTGGCCTCAGATATGGGCTGTGAGACTGCATGAAGAAAGCAGCTTTCTGTTGTTAATAGACTTGGACCTTCTTGATTCAAAACTAACCTGGAAAGGGAGGGAAACCACACCCCACCATGTTCCCTCTCAAAAAGGGTTTTCAGTTATGGTGTAGATTTTGGAATATGAAAGGCACAAGGAATCAGGGGGAGTTGAGGAGCAGGCTAGAGACTGTTAAGAACAGTAATGATATTTGGATGATTGCACAGAAGAAACACAAAAATGCGAAGTGTCCCCACTCAGGTTTCTGGCCCTTCCTACTCTGTGGTGGACAGAATAGCAGCTGGTGACTCCCTTGAGAGGTTTGGGAGGTATCAACTGGTCATCTGTGTCCATCCTCTCTGTAAAAATGAATGTGTGTCTATCTCTTTAAGGCTATTGTTAAGAATTCAATTATCATTATTTCTGTTATTGTTTAGTTGTTTTTCAGTCATGTGTGATTCTTTGTGATCCTTGTGGGGGTTTTCTTGGCAAAGATACTAAAATGGTTTTCTATTTCCTTCTCTAGCTCATTTTACAAATGAAGAAACTGAGGCAACCAGGGTTAGGTGACTTGACTAGGGTCACATAACCACTAAGTGTCTAAGGCCAGATTTGAGCTTGGGAAGAAGAGTCTTCTGACTCCAGGCCCAGCAGTCTTAACCACTGCACCACCTGGCTGCCCATCATTGTCTATCTATTTAACAATATCTTAGGGATGGGGTCTGGCTAAGGCACTCCTGGTACGAATGCTACCTCTACCAATATAGACCTGCAAGTGACCTTACAGAGTTACCTGGGGCACTGAGCAGTTTAATGACTCATCCAAGGTCACACAGCCAGTATGTGTCAGAGGCAGGACTTGAAATCAGGTCTTCCCAACCCTAAGGCCACCTTCCTACCCACTATACCCTGATGCCTCTCAGAAAAGTAATTAATAATAATAATAATAATAACAGACATTTATATAATGATTTAGGGTTTGCAAAGTGCTTTACACATTTTAACCAGTCTTCACAAGAACCCGGGGAGAGAGGTGTTTTAGATTTCATCTCCGTTTCACAGATGAGGCTCAGACAAGCCACAAGGCTTGTGTGACTACTACGCATTAGAGGCCGGATTCAAACCCAAATCTTTTTGACTCCAAATCTAGTACTCTGTCCACTAAGATCATGTTTTTCAATTTATAAAACTTAATTCTGTTAGGTTTGATTGTTCTCATAGTGCTAGAAATTAAAAACGTCTGCGTGTTCAGAGGGGGATTTAGCCAGCCCAGCATCATTCAAATACATTGAGAGCTGCTGTCTGGGAAGGAATCTGTCACACCCCACCATGCCTCCATTTTAAGGGCCTTATGGGAAATATTGTGATTAAAATACACATATGTTGGGAAAATAAATGGGCCAAGAGGTGAACCATGATGCTGGTGCATGACGCCAGTCTTCCAGGAATACTCACTGGCCTGCTTTGTTATCAGATGTGATGGAAACTGCAAGCGCTGATATGATGCTGAAAAGAAAAAAGGAAGGAAGGAAGGAAGGAGAGGGAGGGAGGAGAGGGAGGGAGGAAGGGAGGGAAGGAGGAAGGGAGGGAGGAAGGGAGGGAGAAAGGAAGGAAGGAAGGAAGGAAGGAAGGAAGGAAGGAAGGAAGGAAGGAAGGAAGGAAGGAAGGAAGGAAGGAAGGAGAGGGAGGGAGGGAAGAAGGAAGGAAGGAGAGGAAGGGAGGGAGGGAAGAAGGAAGGAAGGAAGGAAGGGAGGGAGGGAGGGAAGAAGGAAGGAAGGAGAGGAAGGGAGGGAGGGAGGAGGGAAGGAAGGAAGGAAGGAAGGAAGGAAGGAAGGAAGGAAGGAAGGAAGGAAGGAAGGAAAGAATGCTAAGAATATAATCATTGAGAACACAAATACAAGCAAGACAGCTAATTAAGAAGCTTAAGAGGAAGAGAAAACACAGATAGGGGAGTGGTGACCAGGAAAGGGAGTCTGGTCTAGTCAGTCCTGGGTGGTGAGTGGAGCCACAGGGGAGTGGACTGGCACATTCTTTCCAGGGCCAGTGACAATCTTGATTTGATTATGGCGCCAGAATTGGAGGAGTTGGGAGAGAGAGGGAGAGTATACTTACAGTGGCAAGGAAATGCTTCTACTCTTTTGTCTTCCTTTGGAAGACACCAAGCTTGGCTTCCATTTTTTTCCTTATCTGTAAAATGAGTAAGCTAGGCTAGATTCTCTCTCTCTCTCTCTCTCTCTCTCTCTCTCTCTCTCTCTCTCTCTCTCTCTCTCTCTCTCTCTCTCTCTCTCTCCCTCTCTCCCTCCCTCTCCCTCCCTCTCTCTCCTCGCATTACATCGTCTCACCTTTGGAAACTTCCAGGACTTTATACAGATTATTTCATCTGAGTCTCACAACAAACTGGTGAGACATATACTGGTGATGTTGTTATCCTCACTTTACAGATGGGTCAACTTTGGCTCAGAAAAATAAAATAATGTGAACTCTATGAATTGGTCATATCTTTTCACCTCTATAATCTCTAACTTTTTCAACTGAAGCTAATAATTCCTGTATCTCCTGCCTCATAGGATCTTTATGAAGAAAAAGTGAGATACAAATTATAATTGTGACTTCATTTCATTCTCACTTAGTTTGCCTTTCTTCAGGAAGTCTTTGCAGAACAGCACTGGATTTGGAGGGAGAAGAGCTGTATTCAGGTTCTAGCTCTCCCACCTGTTATCCGTGTGGCCTCAGATAAGCCATCATATGTCTTTGTGCTCCTAGTACCTTCATGTGGAAAATGAGGGAGTTAGACCACATGGCCTCAAAGGGCTCTTCTCATTTGAAATTGATGATTGATTCCAAATCGTTTTCTAAAAGAAGGAGCCATTCCCTTGAAAAAAGAAAGCAGCCTCAACAAGAGCGTTGGGCATTGCCAGCTGGGCCCCTTCGGGCATCTCTTTCCGTAGCTTATGTTCCTAGCAAGAATCAGAAATGCTCCCATCTCATCCACAGACATGGACATGGTGCGCATGGCTGGGAGGATTCCACAGCCCTATGTCTCATATTTCCAGGAAGCTTACAGAAGCACAGCACGCATACAGTGTGTCACAACCACAGCAGGCAGTTGCATTCCAGACTTAAAATGTGCAGAGAAGCCCAATGCTTCCATCCTTCAAACGATGAACGGATGGATTTCAGCTGTTCTCTGCAAACTTCATAGTTGCCGTAGTGCCCCCTGGAAAATAAACAGCAGGCATGCTGGTAGTAGGTGGGAAGCTACTTTAGTGGGCTTTCCAACATTCACTAATGGATAAAACTCTGGGCCTGGAGTCAGGAAGACTAGAGTTCAAACTTGGCCTCAGAGACTAGCTGTATGACTGTGGGCATGTCATTCAACCTCAGTTCGCCTCAGTTTCCTTATCTAGAAAATGGAGATAATAATGGCGCCTACCTCCCAGACTTGCCGTAAGGATCAAATGAGATAATAACGTATTTAGCACAATGCCTGGCACACAGTCAGTGCTTTGTAAAGTTATTATTATTAACAAAATTCCCTCCAAATTGGTACTAGTGAGCCCTGTAGATGAAGACAAAATATTTTTCCCACCCTCCTTTGCATTATTTCCTTACAGGAATACTCAGGCAGCCCAACTGGATGGCGAAAGATGGAAGCAGTGCAGAGGAAGAGACTTTAGGGGACATGAAGACCAATGCCCTCATTTTACCAATAGGGAAACGGAAGCCTGGAGAGGTTAGAAACTGACTGATCTCCTCCCCAGGAGTTTAAATGATAGTTTTCAGTGTCAGAGCAGTGGATTTGAACCCAGATCCTCTGATTCTTTTTTCAGTAGATTTTCCACCATGCCACAAGAAAGAGAGCCAGGGGTCTAATTGCAGCTGTGCCAGTAACTTAACTGTATGACTAGGGCAAGCTGGGCCTCTTCTCGGGGCCTCCATTTCCACATCTGTGAAAGGAAGCTTTAGGACAAGATGACCTCTGACAGTCACATCCAACTCAGTTTAAAAACATATATACATAATTATTATAACATATATTAATGATATATAATACATATGAATATCAGGGCAAGGGATCTGATTTCATTTTTAATGGATTAGCTAATTTCGTGTTGTACCTGCAGGACAAATCTTCAGGCTGATAATGAGGAAATAACCTGGAGTCAAAAGGTAGTCACAGGACAGCATCTTGTAGAGGTTAGTGTTTTTTTCAGCTCTTTTTACTGGCATAAGGATGGATGTTGGCCAATAAGTTTTCTACCCACGCAGCTGTTTTCAATGATTCACTTCCCTTGATTTCCCAGCTGAACCATTCAGACTAAGAATGACTGGTTTTCCAGCCACAGCTACTAATATCAGGACTGAGAGCCCTCCAGCTCTTTGATTGTGGGGCCATGTACCCGTGGCATGCGCTTCAAAACCATACAAAAGGACGGTGACCCATGGGGGCAGCATTGTTTTCATTGCCGGGGGTTAGGATGGCAGGGGCTATGTTTCTGTGTTCAAGAGAAAGCCTAGCTCCCTGTGGCTCTATGAGACAGTCATTTGTCCCGGATCCTAGGGAAAGTATACTGTTTGTCCCTCTGAAGCTTGCCTCTCTTCAGTAATGGAGACCAAAATCTTCCCCAATCTGTTAGAACTCCTGGGCTTTCACAGCTCTTCTCTACCTTCCTCCCTGACCACTCCAAAAACAAATAACAATCACCAAAAAAAAACCCAGCCATTTAAAAATCAATTCAACTGAACAACTGTTTATAAAGCACTTGCCATGTGCTAGACACTGCACATAAAAAGACAAAAATGAAACCATTCCTGTCCTCAAGGGGTCTACATTCTATGTGGGAATTCCTAACCGTGTGTGTGTGTGTGTGTGTGTGTGTGTGTGTGAATAATGGACCCCTTGGGCAGTCTGGGGAAGCCTAGGCACCCCTTCTCAGAATTATATTTTTAAATGTATCAAATAAAAGATATGGGACCATAAAGGAAATCAATTCTATTGATTCTAAGATGTAGAGCCCAAGAACCTTAGCCCCCTAGTCCCCATAGCTGAAAATAATAACTTCCTGTTTTCCAAGCTGTTGAAGGCTTTGATGGAGAGGTCCTGTGTCAGGGGAAATGACAACTGAGACGACATTTCACAGCTATAAACAACAGAGGTTTTTCAACAGAGTACACCATTGACAAGAGAATGCAATAAGATCTTCCATTTGGCCTACTTCATTTCCTAACAGTGTCTCAGTTCATCCAGAGGGACAGTCATACCTTCCTACTGTCCCTGGAAAATAGTTCAATGCACTTGTTTTGAAGAGGACCAATGACTTCATAGCGTGACATCTTGACTTGCTTGTGAATTGGATTTAAGTGAGGCAGAGCTGCACAGTTGTCACTTTCTCTTCCAGAGTCATCAAAATCCAGTGGGAAGACAAAAGTCAAGGTGACTAGTGATGGCCCAGGATGCAGTGAAAGACCTTAGAGTCTTCCATGTCCAACTGAGCTCTAAATATCCCACAGTGCCTGCTTCGTCCATTTTCATGGCAGTTAGAACAAATTGTTCTCACCCACAGGGAAAGTCTTCATATACTTGTGTTTTGATCATCCCTGTCACCTAGATACTTTTCTATGATACTTTTTCTATGTTGCTTCTTTTCTCATTTGTTTGCCGTTTTTCTGGCTTTTAAAGTTGATCTCTGCTTCTGGGGGCACAGAAGGCACTGTCCCAGGCTTCTTGTGCTGGGGGCTAGAGGCATGGTTACTGGCTTGTTGGGACGCCTCCCTTCCTGTACTGGTCCCCTTCAGCTCCAGCAAGAAAGATCTTTCCTGTTAATCCCCTTAGCCTCACGAGCTAAAAGATCTCTGTAATCTAGTCTTTCTGCTGACTCTACCATTTCAGGATTTTTCCTGGGGCAAAATTCTCTGCGGTTTTTCAAGGTCAATAAGGGAGGATGAGAGCGGCTTGCTGTTTACCCTGCCATCTTGGCTCCCAAACGTCAGAATAGGTGACTTTCAAACATCCAGTCTGTGGGCTAATAGCTCCAGGAGAGTGCTGTCGCTGCTGCCACCACTGCTACCACCACTGATGCTGATTCACTTACTCCCAAGGCCTGTTTCTGGTTTGCTGGTGCAGGTGCTGTATTGGCACACCCTGCAGCCCTGCGCTGCACTGTACTTCCCTCTCATCCAGTTCTAACAGACCCCTCGCTGACCTTCTCAATTGTCTCTGATATCTGTGGGCTGAGAAGACTGGAACCCACCACTGCTGCTGGTGATTCAGTCTCCCAGAGCAGTTTTGCTTAGCCTGGGTCTGCACTGAGCCCTACATGGTGGACACTTCTCTCTCAGGCTGGTGCAACAGACCCTTCCTGTCAACCTTCCAGGTTGTCTTGGGCTGGAAATCTGCCTCACTCTGTCTCTTTGTGTGTTCTGCCACTCTAGAATTTGTTCAGAGTCACTTTTTAGAGTTATTGGAAGAGATTTGAGGGAGAGCTCAGGTGAGTCCCTGCTTTCACTCCACTATCTTGACTCTGCCCCCTCTTCAAATGCTCCAGGTAGACATCCCCCTAACTCATCAATGGGTCTGAGGCCTGTCACTTAGCTTCAACCCGGTTTAGCCCATCTGCTAAAATGGTTTATTGGGGTGTGATGTGGCCGCTACTCATGCTACAGCTTCTCAGCACCACAAGTGAGAGTTGGGTGGCAGGTGGATGTCAAAGGTAAATGAGCAGCCCTGAAAAGAGCTCAGCAAGCCCTCACACCAGAGGTGCTAGTCTTCCCTAAACACCCCAGACACCCCAAAGTGCACTTAGCTAGTAGTTAAACATTCATCTACTTAAAAGCAGCTTCAGTGTTGAAACTGTGCTGAGAGGATTCCTGATCATCCTTGGAGGTTTAGGAGGAGCCCAGGAGACTTAAATCAATCTACAGGTTTTAATTGACAAGTCAAATCGATCTTAAAAATATTGAGCCCTTGGGCCGATAGAGTGATGGCCCTGGAGTCTGGAGGACCTGAGTTCAAATCCAGCCTCAGACCAGACACTTGACACTAGCTGTGTGACCCTGGGCAAGTCACTTAACCCCAATTGCCTAAAACAAACAAAAACCAAAAAAAATATTGAGCCCAGTTTTCACATACACATCCAAATTTATTCTTCTCATCTCTGGTTGTGTTAATAGGTAGGAGAGCCTTTGGCTGTCTGTCTCTCACTTTCTGAAGAAGGCAAGGAAAGAAAAAAGCATTTATTGAGTGCCTACTATGTGCCAGGCACTTTTTATTTTATTTTTTTACAAATATTACCTCATTTGAACCTCAAAATACTCCTGTGAAAAAGATGTTGTTATTATCTCCATTTTATATTGAGAGAACTGAGGTAGACAGAGATTAAGTGATTTGCCCAGGATCACACAACTGGTAAGTATCTGAGGCCAGATTTGAACTCAGGTCTTTCTGACTCCAGGCCCAGAGCCCTACCCACTGAACTACCTAGCTGTCTCTCTAACCTTTGTGGTTCATAGCTTCATAGATCTAGAGCTGAGAGAAACCTTAGAAGGCATCTGTTCTATTCCCCTAATTTTATAGCTGGCGTAGCTGAGGCTAGAGAAGTTAGGTGATTATTCAAGGTCACAAGGTAAATGTCAGAGCTGCAATTCAAGCCCAGGTAACCTGACTCTAAACCCAAGGCTCTTCCCCAGTTTTGGCTCATGGACCATTCCAGAAAAATCCAATGGGATTTGCTTTCCAAATTATTTTTTTTAAATGGTCAGTTTTTGCAACAGCTGGTGATGATGATGCCAGTGCAAATGATGCAATTCAAAGAGTGTGTCAATTTCAAAATCAAATGAAAAATTGGCCTTTGATGCAGGCAAAGTGGGCCTGATAAAGGCTGAGAGATGGGAAAATCTCCAGCCTCTGACACCCTGCCCCATCCCTAAAAGAATATGATAGTGTAAAGAGATTAGATTTTTTTTCTTAGGGCTATGATTGAGGCCTTTCTTCAAAAGCCCCCAAATTCCCCCAAATTTCTTCTTAAGTATTCAATATGGTGGATTCAATTTCTCTTAAGCATAAACTACTGCTAAATAAGATAGGAAAGAAACAGAGGTGAAGACAGAGAGAGACAAAGCGGCTGAGGGAAACAGGCACACAGAGACAGAGACAAAGACAAGATAAAAACAGAGAAAGATAAACAAAGAAAGGCAGACAGAGACAAAGGGAGTTGGACAAAGAAAGGGAGGGAAGAAAGGGGGAGGTGAGGGAAAAGAGAGAGAGGAAGGGATAGAGAGACAAAGAAACACAGGGAAGGGAAGAGGGAAAGGGAGAAGAGGAGGGGAAAGAGGAGGGAGAGAGAGGAAAGGATAGAGAGAGACAGACACAGGGAATGAAAGGGGAGGGGAGAGAGGGGGAAAGAGAGGGGGAAGGGAAGAGTAGGGGGAGAAAGGGGAAAGAGAGCTCTTTCTCATTTTTTGGAGAGGAATATTCTCAGAACAAGCATATTTCAGCATCTGATATCCAAAAAAATAAAAGGACAGAGGAGAGGGGGTTAGCAGGTAAGAATTATTTTTACAGATGTTGGCCATACAATAAGATATGGGTGATCAAATTAAGTGTGGAAAATGACTGCGTAGCTCAGAAAGAGTGAAATTAGAACAGCCCTTTCCAATTTCCAGGAGACATTACGTTGGCGGCATGGCAATGTTTCACACAGGCTCGTTGGAAGGCTCAGCTTTGTGTGACCTTTAGAAACACATTGGAGAGCCAAGTTTTTGAAATGTATGTATAAGGACATTTTAAAAAGTGGCGTGTATAAAATTAACTGAATGAACAAGCAGGAAGAGTGATAGGCGCAAATGAGGATTCAACTCTCTTGCTAAGAGACTCAGGACATTTGGAAATTTGGATTTGCTCTTCTCCTACTACATCCCTTTCAGTTAATTCTTCTCCCTCACATTAAACTGCATTGATTGACACTGGCAAAAGCACTTCTGTTCTTTAAATCTCAATATCCTCATCCGTAAAAGGAATGGGTTAGTTTAGAATGTGGTTCTTTTTTAGAATGTATTTATTTTTAGTTTTCGACATTCACTTTTATAAGATTTTGAGTTCTGAATTTTCTCCCCTTCCTTCCCCTTGCCCTCTCCAAGACAGTATGCCTTTTGATATAGGCTATACATGTACAATTATATTAAACATATTTCCACATCAG